TAGGCCTGGGTTTATCAGTGGAGAAAGCCAAGAGCCTGGTTCTTTAGCTTTCCTGGTAGGGTAGCAGGTAGGAAGCTCATATGCTAGTGAGGGTCAGAGCTAGCAGGGATGGAAAGAAGAGGAAGCAACTGCCCTTTCCCTCTACTCATTAGATTGTCCAAAGGTTTGCCATGCTTGGGGTGTTTCTCCAGGGGAACTTTATTCCTTGTGTTTATGGGGCCTGACATATTCAGAATGTTCACTAAGAAGCCAGGAGCAGGACTAGGCAAAGAAGCAATTTCTCTAGCCTGTATCATCCTTCCCTAGGCCTACTGACCCTGTGAGATGGGGCACTAGGATGGGGTCAGTGACAGGTGGGCACAGTTGCTGCTCTCCTCCCCTGAATTCCTGAGCCCCTGACAGTGATGGATGGCCCAGCCCCTATTTGCACAGTCCCCAGGTAACTGGAGTGTGGAGACAACAGGTGGGCTGTGCTGGAGTGCTGCAAGATTTCCCCCAGCAGGCTGCCCTATGCTGGGCTAGAGAGCAGAGGACAGGAGAAACTGTTAGAGGAAACTAAGCCCAGACAAGTGACATTCAGGATGGTATGGATCTTAAAGATAAGGCTTCTAAGGAGCCCAAGGTCCCAGCTATGGTTCAGAGCCTGTGCCAACTACTATGCCTCACTGAGCCATGCTCTGGATCTCAGATGCCCTGTCCCAGACTTGTTTTAGGGGCATAGGGCAGGCCATTTGCCTGTATGGGACCCAGAGGATTGGGACAGATATTGTTGAGTCCAGAGTAGGGTAAAGTAATATAAGGAGGGGATAAAAAGAGAGGAAGGGAGGGGCAAGCCCATCTCAGAAAGAGAGGCGCTCCTCCTATTCCTGGTCTCTTTCTGCCAACAGCCTGAGCAGAGACAGGCTGACACCTGGAAGAGCAAAGTGATTTCAGTGCAAATACCCACAAACCAGGCATGAAGCTGGGGCAGGGACCAGAGAGGGCCTGGGGGTTGAGTGTCCAGGTGAGTCTTAAGCCTTTGGGATGACTCCTTGCTCCTCCAGCCATTAGGACTTGTCCTGGATGCAATAAAACTAGACTTGCAGGGAAAACCCACCTGGAGATGGATCTGACCTAGCCCTGGGGTGTGGCACAGCTACTATCTGGCAGAAGGAAGAGTGGGAGGGCCTGGCCCCACCCTGAGCCTGCCCTGGGCCTGACCCAGAGAGATAGTGACTTGGGAAAAGCAAGATACTTGTAGGGGAGAGAGTGACAACCTAAGTCAACAAAGACTCCAGCTGGTCTCAGCTACAGGGAGGTGAGTGCATGGGTAAGAACAGGAGAGAATGAGGTGTTAGAAATAAGCAGCTGGGCAAAGGTGGGCTTTACAGGCTGAGGCTGGCAGTGTAGAGGATGCAGCTAGATTGAATCTGGAACCTGTTTCTCATCTCTAAAATAGGCCTATTAATACCGACCTCAGGGATAGTGTGAGAATTAAATAAAGAGTGCGCCAAAGATATAGCATCCAACTACAATGCCTAGCACACAGTAAGTGTTCAAGTAATGAAACCTTCGCTTTATCCATGGATTGGTGTGTGTACCAGTGAGGAGGGTGCAGGCAGAGGTGATGGTTCTTTGAGGGGACAGACAGGAGGCCTAGGGTAGGCCAGAGATGACTGTAGCTAGGAGAGAGGACTGCTAGCTTTTCAGTTTGGGCTTTCTGTTCTCTGACCCTTTGGTGTGCCAGGCCCACCCCTTGGTGCACACATCTTTCCAAGGCTTTGGGAATATCAGCATAGAATCGTGAGTAGAAGCTCGTGTTCTGTAGCCAAATGGCCCAGGTTTGAATCCTGAATTTCCCACTTCCTGGCCGTGTAGTCTTAGGTGAGTTAGTTCACTTTTCTTGTCAGAGTGCAAGGTAGGCAAGGAGAGGTCAAGGACAAGGACCCCAGAAATCCAGGGTGTGTGTACGTTCATGCATGTGTGTGTGTGACCATGAGATGATAAAATGTGGGGGCTAGACTCTACATTCCATGATGGCAGGAACCAGGTCATGAGTGGGTAGGAGAGAAATAATAATTCATGTATGAATACGTATGTATGTGAGAACACCAAAGAGCTGAAAAATGTGTGTATGGCACATAAAGCAGGTGTGAGTGGGTGAGAACATGTGTGACCGGGAATGAGGATGTCTCTGTGGGAGGCTCTATGGAGGAATAATAGTTTCCATTTAGTAAGTGCCTTGGTGGGCCAGGCATGATGCTACGCCTTTTATATGCATTATCTCATTCACCCCTCACCTCTGTGAAGGAGGCATGATCTCCAGATTACAAGCGAGTTAACTGAAGCACACAGAGGTGAAGTGACTTGCTCAAGGAGACAGAGCTGATAAGCAATGAAATCTGTGGCTCAGAAGTTTATACCCCCTGCCATTCATGGGGCTGGGAATCTGAGTTCATAATGTTATACCTGAGGCCTTCTGAATCCCTGGGCTCAAGAGGTCCCCACATACTGATTTTAGTCTGCTTGGAGCTTCTCCAAGGCAAGGCTCAGCAGGGCTCTTCTGTTGGTCGCCGGGGTAGACCTAGCTCAAAGTCTAGCATAGAATCGGTGCTCAGGAAACTTGAAACTTGAGGGGGTGTGGATTTGGATAAGAGAGGGCCCACCTCATCCACATCCTGACTTCCTCTCAGGCTCTCTTGGGGAGTAATTTTTCCTTACTCAGGGGCCTGAATCACTACTTCTGAGGCCCTGCTGGGGTGGGACAGAAGGTGGGGGCCCAGAGTCACCAGCCTCGGCTGAGATAGGGAGTAATCCCAGCCCTGCTCCTGAGAAGGAAATTGTGTGCTATGACTAGGAGTGAGGAGCGTGTGGAGTGCTCCTAGATATAAAGATGTCTCTCCTCTTTCCTCTACTGTCTTCCCCACCCAGGATTAGGTGTTGGCACACTCAGGAATTGCTTCTTAATTCCCAGGTTTTCACAGCATAACAGAGGAGCCTCATCTCCGTCATCCCACACCTGATCTTGGGTTTGCCTCCCTCCCAAGGGGCACTCAGAACGTGGAAAGTGGAATCCAAGACTTGTTCTGGGTTTAGTTGGGCCTTTGGAGATGGGACACTTCCTAAGCCTAGTAACCTCTTGGAAGACTGTGAGTGAAGAGTAGGGTTCTGGCCATCCTGAAGGCTGCTGCTTTCCAGGCATGAACCAGCTTTTAACTGTGAACGAATTAAGCAAAAATGTAAGCCAGAGGGGGCTGAAAATGTGTCAAATCACATTAAAGGGAAATGAACATGGGCTTTGGAGATAGATAACTCTCTGGTCAAATCCTGCTTATACTACTGAGTAGCTAGGTGACCTCAGATGAGTCACTTCTCCTCCCTGAGCCTTAGTTTCCCATTTATGTAAAATGGGGATAATGAAACTCATTTAAAATTATTACAAAAGGAAATGCATCTACCACAGTTATTGGCACAGAATAGGTACCCAGTACATCCTCAGGTTTTTATATTCTGCCATGCACTTGGGGAGATCTTTGCTTCCAAGCTTGAATTTGGGGTACCTTTGCATCTTGTTCTCATCTCTCCTTGCTCACACCCCAATAAGGGGCCAAGCTGGGCTCTGAGAGACTTTAGATAGTTCCTCCTCCTCTCTGTCTACCCAGATCCCCCTCACTCCCTGAGAGCAGGAGGGGTCCCGCTTCTTTTTATTCCCCCCTCAAATAGAGGCCCGCTTTTCAGCCAAAGAGATAATAAGAGAATCCAGTGAGAAACTCAATAGTTCAGCCTCCTACTTACATGAGATAAAGGCATGAAACTATAAATGGTAGAGAACTTTTGGTGCCTCAATGGTTCCTCCATAAAGAAACAGCAAGGGGACTTCATATCCTTGGCAATCCCAAATCCACATATTTTTACTGTGCTTTCTCTTATACCTTACACTGGGTCATGGTTTTTGACAAGGTAACGACATCTGTTCCAGGTCTGTGTTTAAGCGCTTGTGCCAAGCTTGTGTGTGCCACGCTCCAGTTCAGTGAGAGCATGTTTCAGGTGCCCGCAGTACTATGAAAGACCAGTAGGGGGAGATATTAGCACGTGGGTGTGTCTGTTGGGATCGGACCAGGGCCAGCGGGTTGGACTGGAGGGCCAAGCTGTGGGATGGAGCCAAAGTTATAAGCTAGGAAGCGAGGAGGGGCGGGGAGAATGGGGTAGGGCTGGAGACAAAGACTCAGATGGTCAGGCCAGGAGAAGTCGTTGTCTGCGAGTTCTGAACGACGCTTTTGCTTTTTGAAAAGGGGCCTGCCCCATGCCTTTCCTCTTTGCCTTCGAGGTATCTTTCTTTAGGAAGGTGCCCTCCTGTCCCTGCTGGCCTATTCTGCACCTTCTGACAGAACCGAACTCTAAATCTGTGCTCTTGTCGCTCTCCTCCAAAACCTGAAATTTCAAAGGCCTAGTGCCTAGTGGTGAAAAACTCACCCCCACCCCGGGAATCCCGTACTTAACCGGTTTGAATCTCCACTACCCACCGCTATCCGTTTCTATGTTCAGGTCTCCGGGTCAATGTGCAATCAGACACTTCATTGGAAGGGTGGAAAGGGAATGGCCACCAGAGTTATACGGGATGCTGGCCCTGGAGCAAACAGGCTATCCTTGCCACAGAGCAGGACTTCGGGGCTCCTGTGTGTATGTAAAAGAGAATGAAAGTACTTTCTTGGGGTGCTTGTGACAGAGCCTGTGTGGTTCAGGACAGTGGGTCGGAGTGTTGACCAGGTACGCAGGGAGGAGAGGAAGCCGACAGCTATAGAGGAGCGCCAACTTCCCACGGGTAAGCGCTCTGGGAACTGGACTAGGCGGGACCCACCCTTAACCGCAGGAGCCACACACTCAGATTGGTGCCATGGAAAGCGCGGCGTCCTTAAGAGCTCCCTGAAGCCCCGCCCCTTCCTGTTCGGGGGCGTGGTGAGGGGGGCAAGGACCCTGAAATGGAGCTTACTATTGGCTAAGAGCAGTAGGGTTGGCCTTGCTTTCGTGGGAGCCAGGGAGTAGACAGTTTAGCAGCAGAGGAGGGAGTCTATGTGCGCTGGATCGCAGTGCGAGGTGTGTGAGGCTCACATTGGCCGAAGACCCTGGGGCGCAATCGCAGGGGAGTTAGGACTCGCGACTTGGCTGCCGGGCCTTCCTGCGAGGCTTCAGAGGCACAAACTGAAGGGACTAGCTCGTTCAGCCGCATCTCACCTCTCTTTTAAGTGCACCGAGCGGGGCCCGCGTTGAAGCAGAAGCTGTCGGGGGGCGCGGAGCCCGGAGTCCCAGTGTGGCCTGGCGGAACGGAACTTGTGTCAGGGCGAGCCAGGTGGGAACCCCCGGACCGCGCTTGGGTTTTAAGGAGAAGCCTACATCTTCTGAGGGGTGCCGATACCGAGATAGTCAAGGAGTCGGGGCGGCCACTGAATCCCCAGAGGGGAGACCCTGTTGGGGAAAGGGTACGCAGTCCCAAACAATCTCGGAAAGCAGAGCGGAATCAGGCGTGTACACCCGGGGGCGCAGAGCCCCCGTCGCTTCTGGTGCGGCAGAGAGGTGAGGGGAAGGAGCCCTTGGAGGCCCCAGCCTGTGCTCAGGTTGGGGGCGGCTGCCCAGTGAGTTCTCCTGGCTCGCCAGGAGAAGAACGGCACCAAAGCCTGCGGGAGGGGAGCATTTCAAGGCCCGTGGACGATGAGGATGGGAGCCTGAGCGCTTCAGAGCACAGAGCAGCACGGCGGCAAGACGAGGCGAGCTTTGCTGAGGAGGCGCCAGGGGATCCGGAACTGCAGCCTGCCCCGGGAAGATGGCCCGGCCAGGGCAGCGTTGGCTTGGCAAGTGGCTTGTGGCGATGGTCTTGTTGGCGCTGTGCCGGCTTGCCACGCCACTGGCCAAGAACCTGGAGCCCGTGTCCTGGAGTTCCCTCAACCCCAAGTGAGTAACTTAATCTGCTCTAGTCCTTGGGGGTGGGAGGCACTCCCTCGGGGTGAGGCCGAGCGCCCCTAAGTGCAAGTGGGGAAGTGTTTGGGAGAAGATCGGCGCCCCATTTTGTATCTGGCTTTTTCGAGTGTGTTTTCCTGCGGACGGGCGGGGCAGGGTGCAGCGGATTGAGGTGGGGGCACTTGTCTGGGTTGTGACCCTGAAGCTTATGGGCCCTCTCCTCCATACCCCCCAGATCAAGTCGAGATGGTCACTCCAGGGGGATCTGGGAGTGCAGGCGCTCAGCGGCGCACTACAGAACTGGGTGGTGGGGGGAGAAGTCAGCCCTTTCTGGGGCCCCTGAGAACGTGGCGGTTTTCGTCCAGAGCCTGGGGGTGGGGGCGACTTTGACCTGGGCCAGGGATGAGGCCGAAACATTGGTTCCTCATTTGTTTAGCTGAGAAGGAACCTAGGCGCGGGACTCCCGCTTGGGGTGGTTGGCAGCGCCCATATACCAATTACGGCTTCTCCCATTTTCATTTCTCTTTCTTCCCTGGTTTGCCTCCCTAGCTTTATGCTTTGCTGTTTCTTCTAGCCCCCCTTTTCTCCCTGCCTGGGCCTTGGAAGGGCGGGCGCTGCTTCCAGGCGCACAAAGGCGGCGGGTGGAGAGGGGCGGAGTGGAAGAGCCCTTTAGGGGAGGGGGGGTTTCAACCGAGCGCCCGTGTGTGGGGGGTTCCCACTGGATCCTGTGGCAGAGATTCGAGGACACCCAGGAGAAGGGGGGGTCAGCCTGGGAGGGAAATGGGTGGGGAGTTAAGGATTTGAAAGATTCCTGCCCAGGCAGTCCCTTGGCCTCCACCCTATGTCCCTCAGACTGGGAAGCTGTGCTCAGCTTTCCCCCAAGGGGTTGGGGAGGCAGCTATGTAGAGGAGATCCTTTCTTTTTTTTCTCCTCCTCCTTTCCCTTTATAACCACCCCCCACCCTGCCCAGCAACACACACCTTTCAGGGTGGTGGCTCACTGGTTTCTGGGCTGTTAATAGGGAGTGAATGGGGCTGTGTGGTGACCTCTGGACCTTTTTCTCCTTTGGCATCTAGGACTCAGGTTGGAACCTAGGGTCAAAATTGCTCTTCCTTCATGTTTTCTTGAGTTCTCACATTGTGCAGACCTCCCCCCACCACACACACTTAGTGGTAAAGTGTGTGTGGGGGGGGCTTAGACTTGGTGGTAAAGAGGGGGGCCTTGGCCTACCCTGTCAGTGCTTTCCCATTTCTATATCTGAAATCTTTTCCTACCCACTCTCCTGGGCTCCCAGCTAACTTCCTGGGCTCCTGCCTCCCTCAGACTCTTAGGTCCCAGGGCCATCTGAGTCCTGGAGTGGGAGAAGACAGCTTCTTTAGTTTTCTTCTCCTTGGGTTAAGGTAGGATCCTATTTACTGTTCAGTGGAGTAGCTAAACCAGGGTCAGGATAGAGGGCTCTGTCTTGGTCCTGGAAAGAGAGTAGCAAGAATTTCTCCCATACCCAAAGCCAAATCAGGCACAGTGCTCTACTAACAGTAGGAACTCAAAATGGTCTGGGGGCCCTGGGCTGCAGAGCCTAGAAGGAAAGGTTGTAAAGCGCCCAGTTCTCTCTCTCTTAAGGGTAGAGGCTGGAAATGCTCCCTTCTTGAGACAGGAGAGCTGAAAGCCGCCTGGGGTAGCCCATCATAGGGGCTCATGGGAGTGACCTAATTGCTCTCTCAGGTCTCTAACCAGAGATAGCATGCAGCTCCACAGCTGGAAGGGAGCCCTCCTGCAGAGTTGAGGCAGTGAGCTGGGAGAAATAGGATTTCTCTGAGTTTCTCCCTTTTATGTGTTTTGAGTTTTTAGTGATCTGGACTGGTTTGTAGGTTTTTGAGGTCTGACACCCCTATATCCACTTCAGGCTGAGTGCAGGCACTCTGGGAGGTGGGGGTGATGATTGAGGATTCAGTAGGACCTACATGAATTATATCTTATAATTGAGCAGGTTTTGGTAATGGTTGGGGTCTGGCTCTGGTACCCCTGTGTGCCCCTGCCCCCCTTCCTTCTCTTCTCAGGACCATGGGGGTGGGTAAGAATACAGGAGGGAGGCACTACCCTCAGCTCCACTGGAGCTCTCGAGGCTGCCTTTGCCTCCGCACCCAACTTCAGGCTGCCAAAGCCTTTCAAATGAACAGTCTCCCTCTGTCCTTCTCCCCCTTTGCTTCTGGTTCTCCCTCTCAGGTCCCTGTTGGTTGGCCTTCTCTGATCTGCACTCACCTCCTCTCTCTAGCCAGGCTTCTCAGCTCTCCCTCTTTTTCACACTCCCTCTCACTCTTAGTCACTCTCTGCCTCTTTTTCTCAAGTCCTTTTGTTTCTCGCACATGCCCGTGCTCCCTCACAGGCTCATTTTCTCTCTTCCCTCCCCTCTTCCTCCAGGCTTTTGGTCTGTCTCCTCAGCCCTGTCAGGAGCTGGCAACACCCCCCCCTCCCCGCCATCTCCCAGCACTTATAAACCCTGCTTAATTGCTTCCTCCTTGGGAAAAATATCAAAATAAAGAAGTGGTAGGGCCAGGGGTATGTTTGCAGGTTCCAGGGCGTACCCCAGCCCTGACCGTGAGAAGGGAGCTGGAAGGGCCAGTTCAAGACTCCCAGCCTCTTTCCCAAATTGGCTTCTCAGTGTGGTAGACCCTGGGTGGCAAGAGCTTCTGTCTCCTTGGCCCCTCTTGTCTGCTTTGTCTGAGGCGTGCAGGGTGGGGAGGGGGGTTTGATCCCACTAGAGGCTGGGAGGAACCAGAGTGTGCGCATGCATTTGGCTGGGGGCTGTGATGGAAGGTCCTAGGGTGGCCCCCTCCCCCAGCCTCCTCTCCAGAGAGCTTGGGGCAGCCGGCAAACCTCACATTTGAGTCTTCAGCCAAGTCCAGCTGCTGCAGTTCAGTCTCTCAGTCCCGTTCTGACCCCTTCTTGCCCCCCACTCAGGTTCCCCCACCTCCAGAGAGTGGGAATGTGTCTAAGATCACATTACACCTTCCCTACAAAGGGGTGGGGGTTCAGCTTGGCATCCGGGACCCTTTGACTCCATTTAGTATGGGTGGGGGCAGCTGCAGACCCCAACCCAGGCTTGCCTGCTACAAGCCAAAGTATTGTCCCCAGGCCCCTCACAGCTGTTCCAGCTCACAGACCTGGGGAGGCCAGCTTATGGGGCCCCTCTCCAGGGCGGCTAGGGACCTGACCTCCTCTACTCTGTGTCTGATTGGCTACAGGTGGGGGCCTGAGAGTGATGGGAACCCAGCAGCTCATTGAGTTCCCAGTTCCTCTCCCTCTCCACCCCCACCCCATGCAGCCAGGCCGGGGCTAGAAGGGCCTGTGAGGCTAGGGTGGGGGCTGAATCAAGGGTTCCCTTTCTCCCTTCAGGCTCTCCATTGCTTCACCAGCTCAGTGGCTGATGATGGGCAGGCCTAGGATACTAATGTGCATCATGGTTTTCTGGGGTTGGGACTACAGAAAAGGTGGCCCACCAGGAGGCTGCTGGTTGCCATGGGAACACCAGGTTTGGGGGAGGTTCACCCTGTAATAGGGAACTGAGGTGGAGAAATGCTCACCAGCCACATTTGGGGTTTCTTGCCCTGTGCCCACAGAAGCCCCTCCTGGGTGTGTTGGTCTGGTACTCAATTTGGGTGGCGGTGCTAGCAGCTTCTTACTTCTAAATAGCACTGTTTTTGATATGCTAACTAATAGGCAGCACCTTGCTACTCACAAGTGTCATATGTGAACTCATTGGATGTTCCCAACAGCCCTAGGAAGTTGGAACAATAACCATTTCCAAGATGAGGAGTCATACGCCTAGAAAAGGGAAGTGACTTGTCTACAGTCAGTCAGCCCGTAAAGATAGAGCTGTGCTGTGTGCCATTCTGTCCACACCATTCTCCTGCTGTGTACTCTATGAGATATGGGAATTCAAGGTGGAGTTTGGGAAGAGGCACTGGCTCCCTGCCTCTCTAGGTTCCTCTCTCACCTCACAGGTATGAACGCATTTGTCCTTGTGATTCAGGCCCTGCCTGTGTGGGATGAGCAGTGCTCTGACTTTCTCATTTGACTTTGCTGGGCCTACCTCTGAGGGCAGCCTGGTCAGTTGATCTGAACTAGAGACAGTAACTCACTACCTGAGACTCTCCCTCCTAAGCTCTGAACAGCACCGTTGCTTCCTGTCTAGTCCAGAAATCTTCCTTTCAGAAAGTAGACAATGAGGAAGGGAAAGTTAAGCCTCCAGTGGACCCTAGCATTGGCCAGGTGGGGCAGATAGGAGGTCATAGTCCAGTGTGGGTGTGGAGAGTGACCTCCTCTGGGACTCTCCTGGCTTCCCTGTCTCCGACAGTGCTGTGCGTGTGCCAGGACCCAGCTTCTGTTCCTGCCCACCCACGCCTGGGCGGGCACTGCTGGGACATGCCAGGCCTGCTCCTGCCGCCTCAGGGGCTGGGTGGAGCAGGGGGAGTGAAAGAGGAGTCTTTAATTTGGGGGCTCCCCACCCTTGCTGGGATGAGAGCAGACTTGAGCTCTGGCTTGGGTTCTGTCCTCCACTGGTCCTACCACCCTGGGGGGTGCAGGCGTGGTGGTGCTGGGGTCACACAATCAAGGCTGTGGCTAATCTTTTCTACTAAACTTGGACTAGCATGGCCTGGGACCAGGCTCTCCCTCTGGCCACTCTCTGACCACAAGTTCCTAGAGCCTGAGGTAATGATGAGGAGAAAGGAAGTATAGATCTGGGCAAACATGGGCAAGCTTTCTGGGCATAATCCCACACTGCAAACTCTCCCCCCTGGACATTGTATGTGTATGGGTGGAGAGGGGCTCAGCTGGACAAAAGAAACAGGGGCCAGTTAGCTTCTGGCCAGTCCAGGACCTTGGAGGCTACTACCTGGATCCTTCGGGCCTCTCCTATTCCAGAGTTCTTTCTTGCTATCATAGGTGGGAAGGCTGTGGGAGAGACATGGACTAGGGTGCAAGGGAAAAGGCAGATCCCAAGGCAGGAGCTGGACCGCTCAGGCTGTGTTCCCCAAGTCTTTTTACTCCCTGGGGTGGCTCCATGGGATCCAGGGGCTATCAGATGCTAAGGAGGGAAGATCTCAGGGGTTACCATGACGACCTGTTTCAGGCTTCCTGCTGGGCCATGTCAATCCCCTTAGTTTCCAGAAAAGGGCTTTGTCTGGGGGTAGCCCCAGGCAGGAAAGCTTGACTTGATACTGGGGGCAGTAGTACTTTTTGAAAAGCAGAGGATAAAGACTTTAACTTGGGGACAATCTCTTCTACCTCCTCTCTTGCCCCCATTCCTAACCTGGTGATTATGAGACAAGACTTTCAGGGTTGCTCTGTACAATGTGACTAGTGTTGTACATGTCTTCATGACCTCACTCTCTCACTGGCTACATACCCAATCCTCGTGGCCCCTTGCCACTTTCTTGGGCCTCTCATAGACCAAGAAGCAGTTTTTCCAGTGGTGGTGGGGGGGGGCGCTCAGAGTCAGGGAAGACAGGTCTCCTCAGGCTCCTCTTCCTTCTGCACTTTAGGGGAAGGTACCTATCCCTTTGCCAGCTGCTATGCAAATGAACTTATGAATATTTATGAACCTGTTCACTGAGGTTGAATTGAGTCTGAGGGATATTGGGGGCAATAGTCATCTCTTCTTCTCCCACACCTACCCACTATGTAGACATCTGTTTCCTCCATGTTTTTGGGTTCCAGTTAGCTGGAAGCCTTGTGTTCTAATTCCATGGCTTCAGGTCCTGAGTGGCAATGGAAGACTGTGCTCAGGGCAGATAGGACACCCTGGTGAGTAAGCCAGGGCCAGGTGATTAGAAAGCTGAACTGGTCTGTACCCCCTTGCATGCCCTCAGTGTACCTGCTGTCACCTACATGTAGGTTCTTGTTGAGGTGCAGATGTACAGGGTTTTCTTAGATGCTCTAGGGTAGGGGTGTCGAACTCAATCAGAGAAGGGGCCAAAATCTAAAATCCAGCCTAAATCGCGGGCCGAATGGTTTACTGAATAGTCATAAACTGTCATTGTGATGGAAACGCAGCGGAGTGCAGTGATGACAGCGCGTTGCGGGCCACATTGCAAGGCCTGGCGGGACGGATTTGGCCCGCGGGCCTTGTGTTTGACACATGTGCTCTAGGGGCTAATGTCCTGGGTGAGTTTAGGCTCCTCCGGTTGGCTCTGAGTACCTCCCTTCAATGGAAATGTTCATCTGATCATAGGTTTACATTGCAAGCCTGGGCTCAGTGGGTCTAAGCTTCCTTGTGGCTCTAAGCCTTAGAGTCTAAGGTGTTAGAAGTTGTCTAACCCTGCTGTCTGGATGGAACCAGTGTGAGGATTGGAAAGTGAAAAATATCTTGGGAAATATAGAAGCTTTGGTGAAACTTCTTTGCTTTTTATGGAACATGGAGTGGGGGCATTCACTTTTAAATGTTTATGTGTGCTCCCATCCTATGCCTGCTTCCTTTTTGGCCCTCTGGAGTACAGTAAAGTTAGGTACCAAGGGGGAGACCTCGTGGATTTTACAATCCTGCACAGCAAGATCACAGGCCCCAGCTTGGTGGAGCGTCACTGGACATGAAGAGAGGGCTGCCTTTCTTCATGTCCTTCATCTATTTGAACTAGTTCTCATACTCGCCTCCTTGGCTCTCATTTTCCTTTCTGGGGTTAGGTCACAGAGCTCCCAGATAGCCCTCATACCTCATACCCTGTAGTCCCCACTGTGAAATGTATCCTCACAAAGTAGAACCATGTTCTTCCACTGTCAGCTTCATTCTTTTGAAGTAATGCCTTCAGCCCTTCATTGTCTTTCTGCTAGAAGGTCTGTCCCCAATGAAGTGAAATCCACAGTGCAGGTTGTGATCCTCAAAGCTTTTCAGTCTGACCCCAGCTAAGCTTTTCCACCTCTTCCTCTACCAATGTCATTCACTGACCTGACTTTTGTGTCCCAGTCACTGCTGTTTACTCTTTTTAAATTAAATTAAATTAAATTTTTTATTATTTTTAATTTTATTGACTTTATAGGGATGACATTGATTAATAAAATTATATAGGTTTCAGGTGTACAATTCTATAATATATCATCTGTCCACTGTATTGTGTGTTCACTACCCCAAGTCTATGCTGTTCACTCTTGCTGTGTGTTATCTTCTTATTTGTCACCCAAGACCCACTTTCTTCCCATCCTTTCTGTTGAATCATCTCTGATCATCCTATCACATGAGTTGTGCTTCCACTCACTGCCTCCAGCCCTAACTGTTTGAACTACCCCCTCACACATAACTATAGATAGCCTGGTGCTGTCTATTGCTAAAACGTGGACCATTTACTTTTCTGATCCCTACCAGACAGTAAAGTCTTTGATGATGGGGCCACATCTTTTCTTCCTATCCACCCATTCAGGAAACAAGGCTGGGCTCATAGGTACTTGGTGTCAGTATTTGTCTGCCTGCTCTGCATATGCCATTGCATCCAAGGCAGCACAGGCCTGACACCTAAGGAGGAGGGCTCATTCCACCCCCCCCCCCCCAATTTATGAGGGAGGAAACAGAAGCTCAGGAAGAACAGGTAGCATGTCCAAGGCTACAGAACTAATAAAGGCCCTATCTGTCTAATTTCACAGTCTGTCTTCTTTCTCCTACATAGTACTGTCTAGCTCCCAGCTCCAGCCTGCCCAGGCTCAGATGTGGCCAAGAGAACACCATTTTTTTTTTCTTGATGCTTAGGCAAGGATAGAGTGATGAGAATAGATGGCCCTGGGCGGCTGCCCTCCCCCTGCTATTCCCAAGTGTCCAGCCTTCTAAAGTAGAAGACCTACCCAGCTCAGATGGCAATTGTCCATCTCCTCTCAGAATCTGGAGCAGAGGCAGTGTGGATGTGGGGGAATTAGAACACAGATGAAGGAAGTTCCAAGGGCCCTATATTATATGATCTATTTTCTCTGCTTCGGTCCCCTCTCCTCATTCTGTTCTTAGGAGTGAGACTGGTCAAGTTTGGGGATTCAGACTCTTGCATGATGGGGATGATATATGTCCAGGTAGGACACTGAGCAGTGGGAGTGGGGAGTGGGGAGATCTGTGTGGAGCTGCACCTGGCCAGAGACTGTGCCCAGTATCCCTGGGCTCCAGGAGATGCCTGTTCCTATCTCCCCATCATATCATGCCCAAGATTAGCAAGGATGGGAGAGATGGTATGGATCCCAGGCAGGTTGAGTTCCCCCAGCCATTGGCTGGGAGTTTCGAGGGGTAGTGGATAAGACATGTGTAGGTGTGTGTGTGTGTGTGTGTGTGTGTGTGTGTGTGTGTGTATGCATGCACATGCACATATGCGCATGTATGCAGAGGAGGTGAAAGCAGTAGCTATGAAGGAATGTGAGTGTGATGGTGGTGGGAGGAGGACTGGACTGCCACTTCCAAGGCAACACAGACCTGACACCTTGGTACCCAGCCCATCAGCCACGTCAACTCACTGCGGAAATGCCACATTAAGACAAAGGGTTCCCCCAGCTAAGGAGTGCCCCACCCTGCCGAGCAGTCAAAACCTTGCAGCCTTGCCCATGGGCCACCCCTTCCACACTCTGCTGGCAATGTGGTTCTCTATCCTCACCTCCTGCCCTACGATGGAGGAAAGACAGAATTCCTGTTCTTGCCATCCCCACTCAGGAGGCCCAGCCAACCCTCATTGTTTGCTCTCCTGGCTTGGGAGATAGCCTGAAAACCCCAACCCTGAGGCTGACCCTCTATTTTCTTCTGAGCAGGTTCCTGAGTGGGAAGGGCCTGGTGATCTACCCAAAGATTGGAGACAAGCTGGACATCATCTGTCCACGAGCAGAAGCAGGGCGGCCCTACGAGTACTACAAGCTGTATCTGGTTCGGCCTGAACAGGCAGCTGCCTGCAGCACCGTGCTCGACCCCAATGTGCTGGTCACCTGCAATCGGCCAGAGCAGGAAATCCGCTTCACCATCAAATTCCAGGAGTTCAGCCCCAACTACATGGGCCTGGAGTTCAAGAAGCACCATGATTATTACATTACCTGTGAGTCCTGCCCATCATGTGGGTCTCTCCTACTCTATAGCAATGGCAGCCTCTAAGTAGTAGTGAAACCACTCACAGTTAAGGCTCTGCCTGATATGGTCCTCTTTGAAGACTGGCATGCCCTCCTCCCAGCCTGTTCTTTGAAATCTGCCCCTAATATTCACCAATGGCCCACTGCTGGCTCTCCTTGGCTTGAGTGGGAGAGCTCCAATTTGTGGTGTTCTCACTCTTATTTTCTTTGCCCACCTAAGATCCAATCTTGGAAATGGCAGAGTTGGCAAAGCCCTTTGGGATCAACTACCTGTTTGGCTTTTCTCTTTATGGGAGATGCCACCCCAAGAGGGGGTATGACTTCTTGCCTGAGGTCACACAGGGAGTTAGGGATGTGATTGGGACTCAGTTTGTGTAGAAGCCTCCCTCAAAATGCCAGTCCGATTGCTTTGTTGCTGAGCAACATTGCCCAATGAGAAGACATATCTTAGAGTCCCCTGAGAAAGAAGACATATCTTAGAGTCCCCTGGTCATGAGCAGTACCCTTGGGGAGGGGTAGGAATTGCTATTTTGTCCCTGTGGAAGGGAAAGAAGTTGAAAGAATCACAGGTAGGTGGAGGCTCCTTACTACTCTCCACCTCACAGTTCTGTCCTAAAGCAGCACTAGGGTTTCTGGGTAAGGTGGACAGGCCTGACTCTCCCCCTGATGTCACTGGCATCTTGCTGCAGCTACATCCAATGGGAGCCTGGAGGGACTGGAAAACCGGGAAGGAGGTGTGTGCCGCACACGCACCATGAAGATCATCATGAAGGTCGGGCAAGGTGAGTACCCAGTTGGAGGGCCCCCAGTTAGGCCTTTGCAACAGATGTCTCTGACTGAATGTGAGTTTGTCGGGAGTAGGGGAGGGGGCAGTATAGTTAATGTAGCTGAGGTCTGGTATATAGCCCATACTTGGCCCACCCTAGATGAATGAGTCCCTCATATTGGTGGGGTCCCTTCCCCTCACCTGTCCTCTCTTCACCCACAGACCCCAATGCTGTGACACCTGAGCAGTTGACTACTAGCCGACCCAGCAAGGAGGCTGACAACACTATCAAGATGGCCACGCAGGCCCCCGGTAGTCGGGGCTCCCTGGGTGACTCTGATGGCAAGCATGGTAATATATGGGTGTCTCCCAGACTCTGGGACCCAGAGGGCAGAAGCCATTGCCACTGCCCTTTCAGGCCTTTTCTCTGAAGAAAGGCAGGATGGGACCCAGCCTTAAATCTGCCATGTGTCCCTAACTGTTCCTCCCTTCCCTTCCCCTTCCTCAGAGACTGTGAACCAGGAAGAAAAGAGTGGCCCAGGTGGGAGCGGAGGCAGCAGCGGGGACTCTGACAGCTTCTTCAACTCCAAGGTGGCATTGTTTGCGGCTGTCGGCGCTGGCTGCCTCATCTTCCTGCTCATCATCATCTTCCTGACGGTTCTGCTACTAAAGCTGCGTAAGCGACACCGCAAGCACACGCAGCAGCGGGCACCTGCCCTCTCACTCAGTACCCTGGCCAGTCCCAAGGGGGGCAGTGGCACGGCGGGCACCGAGCCCAGCGACATCATCATCCCCTTACGGACTACAGAAAACAACTATTGCCCCCACTATGAGAAGGTGAGTGGGGACTACGGGCACCCCGTCTACATCGTCCAGGAGATGCCACCCCAGAGCCCAGCGAACATCTACTACAAGGTCTGAGAGCCCGGAGCGGCCTCAGGCCCTGAGGGACCGTCGGAGGGGACTGCACCTCTCCTTTCTCTCCACGCCCTTCCCCTTGCCAGCTGTGCCCACCTTTGTAATTAGTTTTGTAGTTTCTTGGCTTTTATAATCCCCCTTTGCCCTCCCCCTAGGCTTTGGAGGGGGTACTCATGCCCCCAGCCCCCATGCTCTTGTGCCTTCCCCCTCTGGCCAGGCCTCTGGGCTCTGTGGGGGTGCTCCTTTGAGGAGGGCAGGGTTGGACACTAATGGACAGTAAGCAGGGAGATGACCCCGCCCCCCTGGCCCTGCCCTCCTCACTCCCTTTTCCCCTTCCCAAGACTGTTTGTCTGCTATGATCACTGTTTTTAATGTTTTTGTGTTCATTTTTTAGCTGAAACTCCTTTTCATATGCTTTTTTTTTTTGGAAGAAAAATCAGCCCCTCTGAGCCCAGCTCAGCCTAATATAAGGGGTCAGGGCCAGGGCCAGGATGTGGCCAGCTTGAAAGCATAGGATGGCCTATCTGTTATTTGGGGGTAAGGGAGATCAGGACTGTTCTTGCCCATGAGGAAAGATGACAGTGCCTTTGGGCAAAGTGTCTCACCCTCCCCTCCTGACCCTTTTGCTACAAAGCTGATTTTGGCAATGGGGTAGTGGCTGTCACCCTTTCATACACACACACACACACACACACACACACACACACACACACACCTTCCTTGTGGGATTCTTGGGCATCTCCTGCCTCCCTCACTCTCACGGTAATTAACGTCTTAATTGGCTGTTGCCTGGGGAACAGGAGAGCTGTTGCAGGCAGATGACCTCATGGGGGGTGGAGGGAGGTGAGGTGCCCAGGTGGCTATTTGCCCTGTAGAGCTGGGAGTTCTCCCTTCTCCCCCCTCCCCTTCCTGTTCTCTCCTTACCTTTGGCCCCCTAGGCCTGGTGGGAGATAGAGGCCCAGGGCAGAGACCTAAGCAGGTATAAGGCCAGTTGGCCTGCTCCTTTTCTGGGCTCTAGCACAGGTGGATGTCCCTAAAGCCAGCTCTCATTGGCCTCCTACTTTTGGGCTGGGGCTGGAAAGAGGAAGAAGCTGCCCAGGGTTGGGCCAGCACGCCGTGCACTTTGACCCCGGCTCCTTGCCAGCACGGCTGCTAACAGACTGCCACTTGAGTGTGCCTTGCAGGCGCTCCTAGAGTGGCCATGGAAGGAACTGGGCCTTACACCATCCACCTTCATACTGCCTCCTGGCCAGTTGCCTACCTTAGTGCCAGGTGGGAGAGAGAGAGTGGAAAACCCAGCCTCTTCCAGGTGGCAGTCGGAAGGCATTTTGTTTTTGTTTCTGTTGTCATTTGTGTAAATACTAGTCTTTTTTTGGAAAAAAAATAATGTAAAGATGTTTTGTATAAACTCTGAATTATTTTCTTGTTGCTTTTTTTCTTAGAAAAAATAAGAACTAAAAAAAAAAAAAAAAATTAACCACATGGAGATGGGTGTAAAATGGTGTCATGATGTTGGAGAATGAAGTGTGAATGTATGAGTGAGTATGACAGAGAGAGAGAGAGAGAGAGAGAGAGAGAGAGAGAGAGAGAGAGAGAGAGAGAGAGAGAGAGAGGTATTTCTTGTGCTCAAAACATGGTGGGTGATCTGGGCAAGTATGGGAAGAGGGTGGCTGTCCTAATGAAGCAAGGTGTCTCAAGCCTTCTGCCCCTTCTGCTCTCCTGCCCAGTTTCTTTATCCTTTTTTTTTTTTTTTTCTATTGGAGCCTTCAACCATTTCCTCATCTGTGTCCTGTCACCTCTGTGGCATTAGCCATGGGCAACTGCCTACTATGGCACTATGCTCAACTAGAGAGGGTAGATGGAGGAGGGTTTGTTCCCATGGAGATCTGGGTGTGTCCAGAAGTACTGCCACCACCTGGCTGTGGCTAGATCTGGGACCTGCTGGCAGGCCCAGCCCTGCCCTGCCGCAGGATGCCTGGGGGTGGATAGAAATAACTTCCCAAGAGCTGGCTCTTGCTGTAGCTCACTGGGTCCTAGGGTTGCTTCAGGCTTCCCAGTTCACTTCTTAGCCAGAAAATCTTCTACCCGTCTTCAGAGCTGGGCCACTCCAGTGTATGCCCTCACCTTGGCATACTTGGGAGCTTCTGGCCAGCAGCTGAAGTCCCCTAGCTAGAGCAGCCCTGAGCATGCAGTCTACCTCCCACAGGCTGGGGGTTGGAGAGTGTGGTGAGGTCCATAAAGAGGGTTTGGCCTCAGTCCTAAGGCGGAAACCCCATCTGGCAGTGCCAGGGCCTTTCCACTCCAGCCTGGAGCAGCCTGCAGGTCTTGTGGGGGGGGGAGGAGTCATTCCCTGTGGAGATGGCTAAGACAGATGTCAGGAGAGGCGCACAAGTGAGATCCCAGCAGCTAAATATGGGTAAGAAGGCACTAGAGGAAAGTAGGAGGAGGAAGGAAGGGGAGGGTTAGTTCGTGATCCAGAGCAGGAAGCCCCAGTGAACCAGCCAAGGAACAGGCTGGGCTGTGAGGGAAGTGGGAAGCACATGGAGAAGAAAGGCAGAGAAGAGCCCACAGATCCACAGGACCTGCAGGGGGGAAGGAAGGGAGACTGGGCTGGAGCAGGGCTGGGCCTGGCTGGGGTGCTCCGGGAGCCAGCTGGGGCAGAGGCTGTTTATTTGGTTTCTCATTAACCAAAGGAAGTGCCTGGATCAGATGGGGCCTCTGTTGCTTGACTGCCTGCCCAGAGTGGGGCCCGGCCTGGGCCCAGGGTCTCCAACCAAAGCTGGTTCAGGCCAGATTGATGACTGTAACTGAGGCAGAGCCTGACTTGGGCTGGGTGAGCCCTTCCTACACTTCTCTAACTGGGTATCCTTGGGTGGTCCCAGCCCAGCTCAGGATACTGGCTGCGCTCATCTTACTGATGGGTGGAGAATGGAAATCCTGGGCTCCCTGGAGAGTAGCTATGGGAGTGTGAAGTAAAATCTGTGGGAGAGGGCAAAGGAAGCATGGAGAAGTCTTTCCAATGGCTCAGAGGTTTGTAACTGGTTGTTCCCACTTGCCCTGGCCAAGGTGCCATGGCTGGCACTGGTTTGAGCTCAGTGCCTGTGTAGTGCTGACCATACAGTGGTGCTCAGTCACCTTTTGTGTCAGACTTTCCTTCACCTAGATAGTGCCTGCCACTTAATAAAAAATACATTTACACACATTATCTCATTGAGTTTCTTAAACTGCCCGATAAGGGTGGAAGGGGTAGAATTATTTGCCTCATATTTGAGACAAGGAAGCTGAGACCCTACAAGGGACAGTAACTTGCCCCAAAATACCCATAAAGTGAATGGGAACACTAGGGTTCAAGGCCAGGCCTTTTACTACACCCTTAATGAACAGAAGTTCCTTGAGGGTGGGTCTTCACCCCACTCCTCTGTTCTTTGCCTCTTGTTGGGTAAGACTGAGCAAGAGTACTTCCTTGGGGATCTTGGAGAATAAAAGCTCTCCTCCCATCCCCTTTCCATCTGTGTGGGGCAGGGAGGGACTAAGCTTAGCTAGCTGGAGGCAGGAGCTAAGCCTCCTATGGTAGGGCCCCAGACCAGCCCCACCCTCTGCTCTCTTTCCTGTCCCAGCTGAGCCCAAGCACCAGGTGAGTCAGGGATAGAGGATGTTTCCCAGGTGAGGGTGGAGCTGCCTGGCTTCCTTCACAGGCTGAGCCCAGGTCACCAATAAAACCAAGCTGGGCAGGTGCTAATCAGACCTCAGTTTTCTGTAGGAATAGGCCTTGTGAAGCTGGAAGGCTAGGACTCGTACGACTTATTGCACTGGCCCATTTGTGCTTCTAGAAGGCCTCCCTGAATCATGAGGGATGTGGACGGCCTGGAAGCCTCTAGGCAGGGGCATGAAGGTGGGTTGAAGAACCAAAGGAGAGACCCAGTCCCAACTGGGCCATCGTAGTTTGGGCCCTTTGACCACCTGGCATCAATCACTCGGAAATCCGGCCCGCCTGCCTGCCTGCCTTGCAGGCTACTTGTCCTGCCCGGGCATGTCACAGTCCCACTGACACCCCAGCTAAGTCAGCCTCAGCGTATCTAGGGACCCTCCTCGCCCATCTGCTGCTGGCCTCCTGTACAGCTGGCCATTGGATCTGGGGGGCTGGGGTCCCAGCTGGTGCTTTTAGGTTGGCTCCCCCTTTGGGAGGCTGCTGAGGTGGGGTGACTAGCCCCCACCCAAGACGGGGGTCACAGAGCCCAAACTGAAAGCAATTTAAGGGCATGGGGGAGACAGTAATTATAGGTTCTGTTTCCAATGGTTAATTATCCAGCTGGCAAAGAGAAAGTAAAGAGGAAAGCTGGAGGTGGGGGTGGGAGGCGAGGAATGTGTGAAGGGATATAGGAGGGTGGGAGAGTTTGCCAGGGGCCCTTTGATACAAAGGAAAGAGCCCCAGGCTGCTGTGCTGGGAGGCTAGGGGCTCAGGACCTGTCCCAGTTCTAACATGATTCTTTTTGACTAGGGGCAGACAGGTCTCTGCCTCTTTGGGCCTCAGTTTCCCTGTCTGGGTAATGAGGAGTGAGACCAAATGTCATTTATTCAGAAAACATTTATTGAGTACCTGCTATATGCCAGTCAATGCTCTGGCCACTGGGGTATAGTGATGAACAAGATAGACAAGTTTTCTGCTCCCAGGGACCTCATGTTCTATAAAAAGCCTTTAAGTGTCCAATTGGTTCTTAAGGGTGTGTGTTGATGTTAATTGGAATGTGAGAGGCAGAATGGAGGATACACAGATGAAAAACTTGGGTTCTAAAGTTAGTCTTTCATTCATTCATTCATTCATTCATTCATCAACTTTTTAAAAACAAATTTTGAATGCCTGGCATTTAATAAGCACCAATAAATGGTAGCTTTCCCTCTTGAGGTGTGGTGTGGGCAATTTGGCTCCATGACTGGGCTTCTTGGGCACCATTCTTGCTTTGAGAGTAGATATAAGGCCTAGCTGTTCCCTCATCACAAACCAAAGCTAGCCTTTTGCAAAATTCCTTAAACATCATCAGAAGTTATGCTGAGGCTTCAATCCCAGCCTGCCTCCCCAGGCACCAGCCCAGGTACCTAAACTGAGTTGGGTGATGTGCCCATAATAACTACTTCCCAAAGCCAAAGCCAAAGAGGTGTATGCCCTCAGTACTTGCCTACAGCTGGGGCCCCATGGTCTAGTCTCTTCCAGCCTCTCTAGAGACCATGGGTGAGGAGCTGGTTCCTGAGAGAGGAATTTCCATCCTTTTCTGGCCAAGGCTCATTGGAGAGGCTCCAGGGGGCTCTCCTGGTTCCAGGGTCCCAGGAGAAACCAGGGATATTCTGGAATTCACCCTGCAGCAGGGACCCCATGCTGGCTGGATTCTGTGGGGCAGAACCATTGTTGTCACGGGACTGGCTAGTGACAGTCCTAGCTACTTTCAAGCCTGCTCAGTAGAACAAGAGAGGTTACAGGCCAGGAAAGAGTAGAGCTACAACTTTCTTGAGAGCTTTTTTGCCAGACCAAATCCCCATGGGGAAACTGAGGCCCAAACATAGAAGGGACTTACTTAAGGACACACGGAGTGCAGGTAGAGCCAGACCTCAGAGCCAGCTCCTTTGCCTCACAGGCCACAGCTGTGTGCCCTTCTTGTATACTGTTGCTTTTTTTCTCCCAGAATCCCCAGGAGTTTGTGTCTGTGACCTATTTATACACAGTATTTATATTGATAAACTCTGTAAGTTTACATAAGGCAATTATAAAAAACGATACATTATAACCCTGACAAAAACATGGTCCTGTGAGGTTTAGGCCTGGTGGGAGCATGCATGGAAAATGCACTAACAGTTCACTCCCCTCCCTGGGGACCCCTCTCCTGTGGCATTTCATACAGCTCTGAAGTCACTTACTGGCACAATAGCTTCAAGATTTCTGTTAGAGCCAGATGCGCTGATTAGAGTACCAGACCCACAATTGGGCATCTCAAGGCTGAGCAGGGCATTAATTGTAGTGTGTGGTTCCACCTTCCCTTAGAGCCAGTGATGAAGCTTCCTGTGCACACCTTCAGGGCTGCCTCCCTCCCCCATCCAGGCAGCCAGGCCTTTCTGGCCAGCCTGACAGTTAGATGCCCTTGCTCTGTCTTCAGCTCCCCTGCACACACTAATAGCCATGGCACTAACATGCTTTCACATGCAAATTGCTATGGAATTCTCAGCCCTTGCTGGTGCCCCAGCCCCCAAGGCTTCCCCCTGGGCAGATTCAGAGAAGAGAATGGAATCTTTCAAGCTGTTAGGATGTTTAGAGACCTTCTAGTCCAGCCCCCTTATTGGATGGATGGGAAAACTGAGGCCCAGAGAAGGGAAGAAGAAACTGCCTACAGTCACATAGAGAGTTCACTGGGACTGGCCCTCACCCAGGTTTTC